AATTTATTCTGATCCTGCCTAAAATAATTTCAATTTGAGAGTAGACTGGTAGAAATCCTGATGAATAATTAAATCGAATCGGGTGTACGCACGCCCCGCGCTTAGTATTGCTGGCGCACAAAAATATAGCTAATAAAAAGGGAAACAAAGGTCTCATAGATTAATTTACTCTAATCCTGTCTAAAAAAATTTCAAGTGCCGCGGCTACTGAGGATTCCCTCTTGTTTTCGTAAAGAACGAAATTAATATCTAATTTTTGCTGAACACGATTGTGAAAACTATTCATTATTTCTAATTTTCACGCGTAACACTATTGGTTTAACAGCATAACGATTAATGTACTCCGTCTTTTTTTGTTACTCTAAAATTATTTTTTTTTATTTAAATAGGTGGTAGAACGGTAGACAAATTTATTACATTTACGGCTCATTGAATAGATATGCAAGTTATACTTACAAGTAAAAATTTTGGGAGCGACCCCTTAACTGATCGTTCTTCCAGCTGAATGTTCAAATTGTAATAATGTCTCAAACTGCATACCTGCACGAGTTGAGATGCAGAATGACCTCAATAAAGCTCATTCACTAGCAGGATATATCATCTTCGAGGTTCTTTCTTCTTTCCTTATTGTTTTGCTTTTGTTCTTACTCTGTTTTTCCTTCTTTCTATCTGATCGACAGGTTGAAGGTTAAATATAGTAAACAATATACTTTTAGATGGGATTTCCAAAGCTGAATTGTGTAGAAATAATAATAGATATTACTTTAATAAAATTAGTGTTGAGCACATTCAATTCTAATGGTGGTTTTGTTTGTTTGTTCTACTGAACGAATTCGTATAGAGCATATTCAATCCTATTGGTAATTTTGCTTATTTGTTCGCCTGAACGACGCCATATTCTTACAGCTGGCTAAACGGCTACATCAGAGACTCCTATGGTTCAGACATAGCTGTCTCTAAGTATAAGCTGCGGAACAGAAGGAATGCACAAAGTCAGAAGCCTGAAATGTCTAGTTTTAAACGAGTAGCGTGATTAAATGTCATTCTTATAACTCACCTATAGCCAAAAGTGCGAAAAAAACGTATTTGGTAGAATCACGTTTCAATCCCGACATCCCCATTCCAAAACGCTAATCATTAGGCCAAGCTCAGGCTGGAGATGGTAAGGTATTCGTATCGTTCTCAACAAATACAATATGTTGAATAGTTTGTAGTGAAATGTTGTTCGTAATAGATGGTAAGATCAAAACACTGTGAAGTAAATTATTCTTTGATTTTATGAGTGCTAATACGCGACGAGGCTCTTTATATAGATACACTTACCATTAATGAAAAGATTATGCACGTATCAATTAAGAATATTGCATAAAGTAACTTCTAACAAAATACAACCATCATAAATTATTTTCATTCTTCTAACAAAATACAACCATCATGCATTTCTTTCATCTTTGTGACAACATAGGATTATCATCAAGCTGTCCAACCTTCTCACCATTCCGAAAAAATAGTTGATTTTGTATCTATATAAAGGAATATGTCTATAATCCAAGCTCTTCATACAAAATTGTGTTTTAACGCTTCTTCGATTTGTGTTTTAGTGAATTAATCTTAATAAACAAAGTATTTAAAGTTAGTCCTAACAAAAATTTCATTAACTCATTTCCTTATACTGTGTTTGTGACATTCTAGATCGTGCTAATGATAAACATAAAGCTATGTTTTATTCATTATCTCAGAGATGATATACTCCTCTCCCCCCAAAAAGTGTACCTTTAATCCAAGAGTCGTCTATATCATGTCATCTCCTTCTTGAATCTTTGTTTTTGTACCCAGTGGCAATGACAAGTACTAGAAATATTGAGCACTGGATAGATTTCTGTATGATCCTACTAGTGTCATTCCCCATTTTTTCAAATGTAATTGAATCCGTTTTTATTTATGAGATGCTAACAAATTTATCTTTCTCTTCTTTTCCATTTTTCTTCTCTTCCCATCTAAACCACCAGCATACGGTTTGGTTTGTTTGAATTTCGCGCAAAGCTACACGAGGGCTATCTGCGCTAGCCGTCCATAATTTAGTAGTGTAAGACTAGAAGGAAGGCAGCTAGTCATCACCACCCACCGCCAACTCTTGGGCTACTCTTTTACCAACGAATAATGGGATTGACCGTCACATTATAACGCCCCCACAGCTGAAAGGGCGAGCATGTTTGGGTCAGCCAAAGGAAAACAAATTGTATGAAATACTTATATATATATATATTTTTATTTTACGCCATGAGATTCTCCGAAGACATTTACATACAAACCAGTGTAAGAATGAATTAAATACAAAAAGCAAAATATATATCTACAGGAATACCTTGAAAATGAAATCATGCGTTTCATGTTTGCTCAAATGCACAAGTGAAAGCAATAGCCGGAAAAATAAAAATATTATTTCATATTACAAAATATTTGAAAAGCAATTATTTCTATGCATCCTCGTGATGTTTTTAAATAAAATAATCTCTTCTTCTTCGCAAAATTTTGCTGTCAGACAACATTGATGTTACAACAGATTATACTCAGTGGTTCTTCACAATTATACGTACATACATTTTTAATAATATTCTCATGGAAACGCACATGTAAACTAGCAAAGTCATAATAACGCTTGTTTTAAAAATTTTCAGTTTGTCACCAATCGTTCTTTAAATCATGTCTTTTTTATTATTATGGGATCTCGGTTTCTGGTCATTGTTGAGCCTACTCTCATGTTTTTTGTTTTTTATACTTTACTTTTTAATGGCTGGCAAAATAAATCACGAGAAAGATGTGAAACGCTCTTTGCTCTTTTTTTTGCGCTAAGTTGTAGGAAATCGTTTCGAAGTGACAGATATTTCACATGATTCGTATTACGTTAAGCCGCGAATGAAACTATGGGAATAGGAATTTTTTCATTGTTACATAAACATTTAGAAAACGTTTTTGTTGGAGCCATTAAAAAATTAACAACATTTCGAATGGTTTTTCCCGTTCAACTACCTTATCTTGCGTCATAACTTTAAGATTTTTGTTTGTTTTTTGGATATTTTTTGCGCAAAGCTACACGAGGGTTATTTGTCCTAGCCATTCCCATTACTGAACTGACGAACTAGAAGGAAGACAAGCTACTCGACAGTACTATTGGTCTATTCTGATCGAATAGTGGGATTTGAGTATCACTCTTATAACGCGCGTTTTACAGGACGTCAACCCTGGAACCACATATTCATAGTCCGGCATTGTAACTACTAGAGCAAGCCCGGAGGACCATAATTGAATAAACGAAATAGAGCAGTGTGGGATAAAACCAGTTTAATTCTGTATTTCTTTATTTTAAAAAAGCAAAACAAAAAGCACCAGGGCCTTGTATATACATTTCTTTTAAAATTTCTTGAACACTAGTAAAGGCAATAACTGTTAACATGAAGTTATGAAATTTCGTGCATTAATTAAAAACAACTAAGTTTTGCTGATGATCAAAACGTCATCATTGATATGATATTAATTCACAATCTGCTTCTGAAGCTGTCTCTTCTTCTTCTTCTTTTTTCGTCCGAGAACTCCTCCCACAGTTTTGGATCTATCAAGATCAGACTTGGCAGACAGACTCAGGAGGATCCAGGGGATGTCCTTATCTATATGGCGTAGTCCCCTACTAAGGGGGGGCTAAAACGTCCCTGGAAAGCCACCCTAGCACGATGGCGTCTGGAAGATTTTCAGGATCACTGAACCCGAATCATGCATCAGATTTTGTGGCCCTGAACTCCTCTAAAAAAAAAAAAGAACTTTGTAAATTAAGTTACTTATATATTTATTCGACGGCACATTAATTAAAATAGCAATCAACACCAACTTTTGGATATTATTTAACATAATTGTAAAAGTTGTTGAAATGTCCTTTAATTACTTTAGAACACGTTGCTCTGCAGAAGGCTTAAGCCGAAATGTTCGATAAATAAACAATATTTTCTGGAGTTTTAAGTTAGTTTTACTTATAAAATAAAGATAAAACACAAAACCTAAATAGTTATTTCCTTTGATTTTGGATGCCTATTCTTTCACTGCACAGATAAGTGTTTGTGTTAGAATCTTTTATGACAACTCCAAAAAATACTAATTAAATTTCAAGCGGCAGAAACTCCATCACTGAAGGGGGATTTGTATGTTGTTATAGTGTATAATTCAGATGGGAAACTTTTAATTAGCCGGGTTTTTTTTTCATTTATATTTTAATGAAGTGGAGAATAAGCTTAACAAATATACTTTCAAAATTTTAGACCTGTTTTCGTGCTCACTTTTTTCCCAAGAAATAGCTTTTATCTTACTTTTGTCTGACTTAGGTTTAAATTTTACGAAGCTGGTGCAACCTGATACAAGTTATATAATTCTGTGATTTGGAAATGGCAATGAATTGAACTGCGTCCTACAGATTTATATTGACGAGGTTAAATTGACCTGATTTGAGTCATACAGATTTACATTGTGTGAGGTGGAATTGATCTAATGCGAACTCAGTCAATAATATACATCACTGCAATGTGTCATGGTCATTATCTTAGACAGTGATTTTTCATAGGAACTGCGACGTTTCCTATTCAATTGAAAATGCTTAGAAAAAACTGTAGCTTGAAGCTATACTGATTAACTAAGTCTCAAAAGTCTTTTGTAAACAAAGAAGTTAAATTCGGTATTTGAATAGATCAAATATCCCACCTTATATATATATATATCAGCAGAGACCTATTTTAGCAGAACAATCTTGATACACTATCAAAGAAGACTATTCATTGAGATCTTCATTCCATCAACATAATAAGAATAGGCAAAATAAGCATATTTTTCATTAAATCTCTCGAGGGACGTAAACCAACTGGTGATTGAATCTGAAACGCTACATGGGAAACATTTCAAGATTTTCAACTTGATAGTCTTCACATTTGATTCTCCACGACTTCTATAAATCAAAAGATTCAACAATACGACGGATGCTGAAAAATTCAAGAGACTGAGGAAACTGACATAAACGTATCTGATACTTTAATAGCTACATTGGACTTGCTAACTTTTACTACTTGTGGAAAGAAACATATTGTCAGCATAAAGGATATATATATATATATATGCCTCTAGAGAAGGATAAGAATAAACACTGTTTATCTTCCTCTTCCACAACTCCGTTCGTTTTTCAGTTTTGTTTGCTTACTGTTTATGAAAGTTTATACTTTTGAATTACTAGTCTCCATGGACATTGTCTTTATAATATTACACTTTGTGTTTCTTTCTCTAAAAGCTTGGAATACACATACTTTGAAGTGCGTGATGTGGACACACCCAGATCTAAAATTACTCGTTGTCTCAAGAGAGCTTAGATTTTTAATGTGTTTAAAAGATCTGTTTTTATGGATTACTTTTAATAACTATCATGTTGTCTGTTTTAATTGGGACTCAACTTGTGACGTCACTGCAATTTTTTTATATCCTGCCATTGTTCAAGGAAAATTTATGGCTACGTATGTAGATAATTGACAACGATAGATGTACTGGTTATAGCTTCTTTCAACATTGTAAAACCTTTACAGTTTCACGTAGATTTCGTCGCAAACATCAGTAACATAGAGACGTTTCCGATCATCACACAAAGGATTGGTTACCAACAGTTTCATGTGTGGGATTAGTAGTCCCCTGTATAAGGCTACTTCTGCAACCACAAATCCGTCCTCAAATTATTCTACAAATACGACCACATTTAGACTCTCAACAATACTTCTCTTTTTAAAAAAATCTGAAGATTATGGCTTATAAAGCTACATTTATACTCCCGAGAAAGGTATTTAAAATACCAAAGGTAAGAACATTAAAACCACATTTAAAACCTAAGGACTGATTTAGAGATAACTTTATGTTAGGACTTATGGAAAACACATTTGCAAGAACATAAAAACAGCATAATTACGTCTTCAGTAAGTCTATTTTAGACATAACTGAATATTACAAGATATAAAATCATATTAAGAACCTCAAGAACAAACGCTTTATAAATATTGAAAATGAGGATATATAAGAGTGAAAACAAGTAAAGCCATGCTGGAACCTTCAAGTAGACCGTTACAAATATCTTAAAACAAAAACACAGAACATCAACACAGCTTGTAACATATATATTGAAAAGTTATAACATATACATGTTTATTGAAACATATATATCAAAATTATACACAAATATTTTTCAACTTTTACTTAGGAAAAAATAAGTTAACTTTGATTTTCGAAATTAATCTTAGGCATATATTTGAATTCGTCTTTTCACACACTACACCTAACTTCCGCTTAAAAACTGTCTAGCTTCTGATTCGCATGGGGGAGTTGTCAAAGTTTGAGACCACGTGACTGTATAAGTGCATGTGTTGCAGAAATAAAAAAAGGAAAGACAGAGAAACCAGAAAACCAAAAAATAAAAACTCAAATATTACAGCTTTTACATTTTCCCCCTGAATATCTCATTAGAAAGTTTCAGACCGTATACCAATTAAAATCTTTCAGCTTCTCGGTTCTTTACCTCTTCAGATGAAGTTTTACCTGTTTTATTAATTTTAATATGTACAACTATATCTGGCTGGCATAGTAATATGTACAACTATATCTGGCTGACATATTAAGCAATTTTTTGTAGTAACTTCCCTTAATCTTTTTCAGAATATTCAAATTTTGAAAATATTATTTATTTTTTGTCAACTTTACATCATCACATTATACTATAAAATTAAAAAGATAATATTTTAAAAATACTATAACTTTACTAGGTAACGTATTTTGTCTTATGGTTGTAATTTTATTTATTGCTCCAATATCTTCTCAAAATTTAAACTTTCAAGATGAGTAAAAAGATGTTAACTTACTTAGGCTATGTTCAGAGGTAATTAATATTCATAAAACGGCATATACATATGTACGTCAAACTTAAGATCGGGATTGCAAAAGTTGTATGAAAACAGGGAGTTTAGGTTCATTAGTTAACACTGGTATGTCCTTTTGAAAGTTCAGAATAATAACTAAACTTAATCAAGTAAATTATATCGTACGTAGCGATTATTGACAAAAAGAAGTTAGATAAGACACCCACATTAAAATCTTTTGCTAACTGCGATAGACATGCAAATAAGCCTGTTTGAAAATCTTGTTTTCAAAGTAAGAAGAGAATGACTACTTCTAAACTTCACAGTTCATCAAGAGTACTTCAGTATAAATGACTATATGACTACTTCTAAACTTCACAGTTCATCAAGAGTACTTCAGTATAAATGACTATATGACTACTTCTAAACTTCACAGTTCATCAAGAGTACTTCAGTATAAATGACTATATGACTACTTCTAAACTTCACAGTTCATCAAGAGTACTTCAGTATAAATGACTACTTACTCAGTCTTACTGGAATGGGTACATATTCTTAGTTTAAACTGCCTACAATATCCGAACTCTTAGCATTTACTCTCATTACGACGAGTCTGATTGTTTTTGTCAAAAATGCTTATGTGTGCGTGTATATTTTAGTTTTGAGAACTAACTGCAGAACAACCAATATATATATTAAAGAGAAATATCAGTTTCAAAACCTCACATAAAGATTTTATTTTTTCATCCTGATCTAGGTTTGACTAATTTACCAAATACTTTTGTTGGAAAATAGCATCATTTACTCCTCTTTTTTTCTTTGCTAAAATTAAGGGATGCGAGATGGCTGTGTTGTAGAGCTCTAGATTTCGAAGCTGGTTCGTTATAAGAGTGACAGCCAATCTCTTAGCGTGGGTGGTAGGGCGTTACTTACTGGCTGTCTTTTCTCTGGTCTGTTGTTCAAAATGAAGGACGTTGGAAGAAAGCATTATACGTTTTATATACAGAAAATATGTTACCTCAGTTTTATGGATATCTGTAAATACGATTAGCATGGAACATAAGAAGCTGCATAGGTAACAACAGCCAAGAGATTTTGAATGCCCACTTTAGAAGTGAAAAAAACAAAAAAACAACTCGCACAGCAGAGCGTTTCGGACATCTCTAGGATACTTCCAAGACAATCTGGAGCAACGCTTTCATCCGCAAAGTGAAGGCTTTGGTTACAGGAAGGAACCCTTCAACCTAGATAGCCATTGTCATGAAGCAGGGAACATATCCCGATGCTGTTAACAACAGATAAGGATTTCAAGTTGACGAAAACCTCATAAGCCAAACTTTCAAAACCTACCAATCCTACCTCAAAACAAACAGTTGACAACCAGCCAATCCCAATATCTGTTTTGGTATTTAAAGTCACCAAAGATGAATCAAATATTCAACTATGTTTCTGGTGTTTTGATTATCACAAAAAAAGTCAATGCTGAAGGAGGTATATTTTATAATCCAACTAACTCACACAGTAAATGCTGAAGGAGGTATATTTTATAAGCCAACTAACTGACACAGTCAATGCTGAAGGAGGTATATTTTATAAGCCAACTAACTCACACAGTCAATGCTGAAGGAGGTATATTTTATAAGCCAACTAACTCACACAGTCAATGCTGAAGGAGGTATATTTTATAAGCCAACTAACTCACACAGTCAATGCTGAAGGAGGCATATTTTATAAGTCAACTAACTGACACTCATACTTTATTTCTTTAGCAACCATCCCAGACACATTAAACGTAACGTTTTGTATAATTTATCCAAAAGAATAATGCAGATTGTAAGAGATGGAACGATTAGAAAGAAAAGACTATTGTAGCTT